CGGTGATGCAAAGTTTGTAGCTCTTCAGGCTGACAGCCGGCGCAGTTACGAACATTCCTGAGTGTCGTGATGTTGCGCTGACGGAAAAGGGATGTTGGACCGTTTGGCTAGTGCGAGGCACGTCGGTGGAAACCCCCTGATGAGGCGACGGCGGTCGCCAAAACGCGTCGGGGACTCTATCCTTGTTCGTATTCTTCCTATCTGTCGTAATTGGTTATGACTTTGCTCGTCGAACTTATGTATTTTCGGTACTCTGTGCTACTTAGACGTATCTCGACTTGAAGTGTTCGTTCACTTTGTCATCTATCAACTAGATCTCAAATTTGTTTTTACGCAGATCTGTTTTTTTTTTTAATCTTTTTATTAACCTTATTTTTTATTTTTTTGATCCGGACATTTTGAGCAATATCTGTTGTGAAACGACCAGGTATACGAAGAAAAAAAACAAATTCCGGGCTCTACTTTTCGGGGAAAGCAATAAACGGCCGCGGGGTAATGAAACGGGCAACTTAAAATGACTAAGTAGACGGAGAAAAATTAGAAAACTTCGGGCTCTGTTTTTTGGCGAAAGCAAAGAAGGGGCTAGGGGTAGAGGGACGGGGAACTCAAAACGACTAAGTAGACGGAGAAAAAAAAGAAAACTCCGGGCTTTGTTTTTCGGTTAAAGCAAAGAAGGGCCTAGGGGCAGAGGGACGGGCAACTTAGAACGACTAAGTAGATGAAGAAAAAAAGAAAAACTCCAGGCTCTGTTTTTCGGCGAAAGCAAAGAAGGGGCCAGGGGCAGAGGGACGGGCAACTCAAAACGACTAAGTAGACAGAGAAAAAGAAGAAAACTCCGGGCTCAGTTTTTCAGCGAAAGCAAAGAAGGGGATACGGGGATAGGAACGAGCAACTCAAAACGACTAACTAAACGGAGAAAAAAAAGAAAACTCCGGGCTCTGTTTTTCGGCGAAAGCAAAGAAGGTGCTAGGGGCAGAGGGACGGGCAACTCAAAACGACTAAGTAGACGGAGAAAAAAAAAAAACCTCCGGGCTCTGTTTTTCGGCGAAAGGAAAGAAGGGCTCAGGGGGAGAGGGACGGGCAACTCAAAATGACTAAGTAAACGGAGAAAAAAAAGAAAACTCCGGGCTCTGTTTTTCGGCCAAAACAAAGAAGGGCCTAGGGGGAAATGGACGGGCAACTTAAAATGACTAAGTAGACAGAGAAAAAAAAAAAAACTCCGGGCTCTGTTTTTTCGGCGAAAGGAAAGGAGGGCCTAGGGGGAGAGGGACGGGCAACTCAAAACGACTAAGTAGACAGAGAAAAAGAAGAAAACTCCGGGCTCAGTTTTTCGACGAAAGCAAAGAAGGGCCTAGGAGCAAAGGGACGGGCAACTCAGAACGACTAAGTAGACAGAGAAAAAAAGAAAACTCCAGGCTGAGTTTTTCGACGAAAGCAAAAAGGGGGCTAGGGGCAGAGGGACGGGCAACTAAAAACGACTAAGTAGACGGAGAAAAAAAAATAAATTCCGGGCTCTGTTTCTCGGCGAAAGCAAAGAAGGGGCTAGGGGGATAAGGACGGGCAACTCAAAATGACTAAGTAGACGGAGAAAAAAAAGAAAAGGGGCAGAGGGACGGGCAACTCAAAACGACCAAGTAGACAGAGAAAAAAAAAAAAACTTTGGACTCTGTTTTTCAGCGAACAGAAAGAAGGGCCTAGGGGGAGAGGGACAGACACCTTAAAACGACTAAGTAGACGGAGAATAAAAAGAAAACTCCGGGCTCTGTTTTTCGCCGAAAGCAAAGAAGGGGCCTAGGGGCAGAGGGACGGGCAACTCAAAACGATTAAGTAGACGAAGAAAAAAAAGAAAACTCGACTCAAAACGACTAAGTAGACGGAGAAAAAGAAGAAAACCCTGGTCTATGTTTTTCGGCGAAAGCAAAGAAAAGCCTAGGGGTACAGGGACATGGAACTCCGGGCTTTTTTTTCGGCGAAAGCCAAGAAAAGCCTAGGGGTACAGGGACATGGAACTCAAAACGACTAAGTAGACGGAGAAAAAAAAAAAAGCTCCGGGCTCTGTTTTTCGATGAAAGCAAAGAAAAGCCTATGGGAAGAGGGACGAGCAACTCAAAACGACTAAGTAGACGGAGAAAAGAAAAAAAACTCCAAGCTTGAAATATTCGAAGAAAGCAAAGAATGGCCTATGGGTAGAGGAACAAACAACTCAAAACGACAAGTTGCTTGTCCGTCTACTTAGATTTTTTCCTTGAGGAATAAGTATGGATCTTTAACGAATGATAATAATACACAACGAATAAGGTTTTTCTTTGAGGAATAAGTATGGATCTTTAACGGACGAGATTTTATACACAACGAATAAGGCCTCATCTTTAACGAAAATACCCATATTTCTTTGCAAGCTTCTTTACTTCATTCGGTGGAATTTTCGGTACCCGTTAACCGCGAGTGGAATCGGAAGGGGCTTCAAAAGCCCAAGAGGAGCCTGAGTATGTGGCTTGTCCCGTTGACAAACTTGACAAGTCTCCACGTACAGCTGGGCATCTCTCATCATCGTGGGCCCACCAGAACCGCTGCAGCAAGTTGGATGCGGTCTTCTTACACCTAAAATGGTCGGTGGCATCATGACATTCGCCTAAAAACAAACTACGCAAAGACTCACTATTGGGAACACACAATCATTTATTCCCTGCCTTCTCAAGGAACAGCAAGCCATTGACCAACTCAAACTCGACAGAGGTCTTCTTGTCCTTTGCTTGAAGTTTGCGTATAATCCCAGTCATGAACTGGTCCTCGCGATAGGCTTCCACCAAAGAGCGAGTAACATCGTCCGTGAGATCGAACTCAGTAGTCAGCGCACCTGAGAAGTCAGGTCTACGCGACAAGGCATCAACCAGCTTGTTGTACTCCCCTTTGAGGTACTGGGGGTCGAAGTTGTAATGCTCAATGACTTCGATCCAACGCTTCAGGGCGTCAAAAAGTACAGGCTGAGTTCTCCTCCATCTCAGGGTCTCATGATCAGTCCTGAGGATGAAGATCCTCCCAAGGAGATAATGTCTCCAATGGGTCAGAGCCTTGTACACGGCGTAGAGTTCCTTCTCGTAGGTGGACTTTGCCAACTTCTGAGACGACATCTTTTTCGACATGTACTCGACTGGCCTCAACTTTGGCCCCTCCTGTTGCGCAAGGATGGCGCCAATGCCATATTGGCTGGCATCCATGGTAACCACGAATGGCTTATCAGGATCGGGAAGTTTCATAACCTCATAGTGCGTCAACGCATGCTTCAGATGTCTGAAAGCAGCCTCGCACTTGTCTGTCCACTCCCATAGGGTGTCAAGGCGGGTCAGATAAGTCAAAGGAGCGGCCACTATGCTGTAGTTCTTAACGAAAGTCCTATAGTAGTCTGTCATTCCTAAGAAAGATCTCATCTCAGTCACAGACTGAGGACGTGGCCAATCACGAATGCTGGCCACCTTCGCGTCATCGGGCTTCAACCCTTCCGTGGAAATCTCATGACCCAAGTACAAGACACGGGTGCGGCCAAACTCACACTTTCCACCGTTGATCTTGAACATGTGCTATCGTAGGAGACTGAGGACTTTGTCCAAATGTGCAACATGCTCCTCGACAGTCTTACTAAAAATAAGTATGTCATCGAGGTACATGATGACAAACTTATCTAAGTAGTCATGGAATATCCGATTCATAGCGTGCTGAAAGGTGCCAGGAGCATTGCAGAGGCCAAAAGGCATCACCACAAACTCGTACAGACCGTACCTCGTCTGGAAAGCGGTTTTGTGTTGATCCTCGGGCCGGATTGCAATCTGATGGTACCCGGACTTCAGATTTATCTTACTGAAGTACCGACACCCTTGCACTCTATCTAACAGATCGTCGATGCGCGGTAGGGGCTCTCTATTCTTTACAGTGATGACATTGAGGCCCCTATAGTCAATGCACATCCTAAGAGTACCCTCCTTCTTCTTTGGTACGAATAGAACTCGAGACCCATAAGGAGAGACACTCGGCCGGATCCAACCCTTCTCTACGAGTTCCTTGAGTTGTCGGCGAAGCTCATCAAGCTCGCCTGGACACATCCGATAGATCTTACCCTTTGGGATACTGGACCTTGGGATAATCTCTATCGCATGGACGACCTCTCTCTCAACAACCCTTGTTGGCTCTTCAAATAGATCAGAGTACTTTGCAACTACTCCCTCTATCTCCGGCAGCATTTTCACTGGCTGGCCTGCAACAGAGACATAAACTAAATACATACCCTCCTCCTGATTTTGCTTATAATAATTGTAGAACGCGGCCGCACACATGCACCCATAGGACTCAATCAGACTACTAGCTTTGAACTTATGTAATCCGGTGGTTCCTCCACCTGGCAAAGTGTGTTTGACGACTTTTCGGTTCCAGTCAAACTGGGGCTGTGCTACAGACAGGTAATACATACCTAGTAACATATTCATTGGGAGCTCGTCACTTACTAGGAACGAGACACGATGTCTCTAGTCCCCTCCCGCGTACGGAAAACAACACTCAACATCTTGAAGGTAGTCGTTAACTACCATGCGCTGTTTGTTGGCACAGGTCGACTCCACAGGTCGACTAAGGTGCTGCACTCGCCCCTATAAACGCAGCCTCTCAGCGCACGAGCGACTAATAAAGTTCCTAATCGAGCAAGTGTCATAATAGGCCCCGGCCTTGCGGCCGCCAATGACAACCTCGTTGACGAACATCTCACCCTTCGGGGCTTTGACTAGTGTCGTCCAAGAAGTTAGTGGGTCTGATCTACACCACTCCACCTATAGGTCCTCGAACGACCCAAACACATTCATCGAACAAAGGCTCGATGGGTCTGAATGTGTTTGCGGGACGACATGGGAGTCAGTAGCTTGGGCCATCTCTCGAGATGGTGAGGGTGTCTCCACCACCTCGACCCTAGCAGGAACAACTACTATTCCTACTGGCCCGACCTGTTTCCCGGAGCACTACCTGAAGTACTGGCAACGTTGCTACCAACGGGATGAGAGGATCCCGACACCTGCCCCATCATAGGTGGGATTTTTTCTGTCACTTTCTTATTGTGGCACTAAAATTGGTTGTGGCCATATTGACCACAACGAATATCAGCCTACCGAGTAACGATCTCTCCACACGTCCTTTGTAAGACCCACTTTGTCCCATGGAGGAGCGTTGGGGTCAACTTGACTTCTGGACCGGAAGCCTCCGCAGCGTCTACCGGTCGCCTTACCTTTCTTAGCTACGGCACCGACAACTCCACCCTCTGAAGTTTCTAAGCTGCCTGCCTCTGAACCTACTCCCTCCTGGAAGTGTTCGTCGACTTCGATAGTGGAACCATCATTATCGACAAACATTAAGCGATCCTTCGCCTTCCAATTAGGAGGCAGTGTCTCCTTCCTCCCATTCGTAGTGGGTGCCTGTCCATGGCCTACCTTAGATTCAAGGTCTAGGGCCAACCTGTTAAACAAAGGAAAGTTGTGCATATTGATGTTGGCCTCTTTTGCCAACTGGTTCCTTAGAGGCTGAGAAAAGCATCTCAAGTACGAAATCAGCAGGACCTGGGGGTCATAGCGCACCCCTGGGACACATATCAGATGCTCAACAGCGTCGGTGGCTTCCCTTACTGACTTAAACTGCCTCATGTGCAACGTCAGGATCACATCAGTGGCCCTTTGAGCCTCGTGAGGATCGTGCCACCTCTCTTCCACCATCTTCAGGAAGTCATCCAGTTTCTAGGTGGCTGCCCAAGCGCGGAAGTCATGACCATATCCCTGGAGCTGCACTAAACCGCTCAACCATCTTGCTGCACTACCCTCTAGGTAAGACGCAGCCACAAGCACTTCTTCGTGCGGCAAGGTAAGTTTGCACCTAACATAGACTGGCACTGACCTCAACCATGTGTCGAGATTTACGCCTCTCTTGTCCCCTGTAAAAGGTTTGGGAGCGGCGATGGTTGTCTTTGGTACCCACTGAGTTTGTCCCGGTCCCTGCACCACTCCGGGCTGTAGACCCGGTGACACAGGTTGTTGTGCTAGCTGCTGGGGTTGCGTGCCTTGAGGCTGCACAGGCTGCGAGACAGCAGGCTGCGTGGTAACTGCAACCTGCGACGGAGTTTGGGTGTACACTGTCTGTACAGGAACCTGCAAACTACTCCCGGCTGTTACCCCTCCTGATAGCGACATGCCCAGGGAAACGATAGCAACCGATGACGGGGCTACATATGGGGATACCCCTGTCACCCGTGGGATAAAAAAAGGAGGATATGGCACGGGCCAGGCACCAGGCCCGGCTGGTGATGGTGCTGCCTGAGCACGGCCTGCTAAAACGGCTAGGCTCTGTTGGATATCATAAAGGATGGTAGTTTGATGCTCCTGCATCTCTATTACGCCTAGCAGGGCCCTCCTAACTACCCTCACATCATCATCCATGTTCGTCAGGTCCATCGTCTCTAACTCCTCCATGTATGGCCCTCTCCGCTGCATCCTGGCTCTTCTTCTGATCATCTTCTCCTTCTCCGCTTTTATCTCTCCTAATGACCACTATAGCTGTGCCTCCTGCAGGGCTGCCTGCTGGATGGCGACATCCTCTGGAGTTAACAGTGTTGCCTGGCTTGCCATAATGCCAGTGGAATGACTCATGTTCTGCGCGACCGTTGACCCAACGGCACCTGAACTACTGGCTTGGGAAGTCTGCTCCGCAAAATTGACCATGGCAGAAGTATCCATGGCTGCTAAGCACCGGCCTCGCCAACTAAAGCCCTGCTGACCTCGGCTGCTCTAGCTCTCCTCTGCTGCCGCTGTCTCTCCCTAAGCTGGCGGAACAGAATCCTATCATCCTCCGGTCCTAGGGACACGTGGGCTATCGGGCGTCTAGTTGATCGCAAGATCCGGTCGTCCAAGTGTGTGTCCTCCTAGTGGCTCATAGGCTACAACGTTATGCACCGTCTACACTAGGACACTTTAGGTGCCTACCGCAACACAATACTCAGACCAACTAATTACTTGGTGGCTATTTTGGAACAGATATCACTTGAGGTCACCAGGTAAGTCAGATTCCTACAACTGAAACTAGTTTTAGTCTGACTAGTCCGCAAGCACCACGAACATTAAACAGTTCTAACTAATGTTGTTTGTCAGATGTCAATGGCAGTACATCTAACTAGTCAAAAACATAAAAATAGAATCATTTGTTGTGGATAGGACATCATGGAATTTTCTCCAACTTATCACTTGGAATCAACCCCTCCCTTAGTTCCCCTGAGTATCTCTTGACGTTAGCGTCCCTGAGCGATTTGGAGAGCGTCGCGTGTCTAAAGGTGTGTGTCCGGCCCACCCGTGTGCCCCGAGTATCCACTGAGCTGGCCAGCCTTGCAGGTCGGCTGCGTTCATCAGGCGCTTCCCTCGCGCGTCCCTGAGCGATATGGAGAGCGTCACGTGTCATCAGGTATGTCCCGCGCTACACTCACAACCTCGTTCCCCAACTCACAGATGCCACTAGCACCCAGGGACCACCCTGCGCCTCACCCAGCTTACAGCAGCGCAGCTCGGCTATGGCTGCGTGCTCCTTCCCTGCTCGCCCGTGAGAGAGTAAGCGCCAGCCAACAAATAGCGCAGCAGCAGCGCTTGCTCAACATGCAGCCAGCACCCGAACCCCGAATGAGGAGGCAGACCCTTTGCTATATTGAAGTGTCCTGCCTGCGTCCAGTCCCAGGAAGCTTCCAGTAGGCCCCGGAAGCCTGAGGCCCAGTCCACACAATGAACGCCCAGGGCCTGTGGTGGTTGCGTGCCCCCAACTGCCCTTGGCCTGTGTTTGGCCTAGTCCCCGTATCCAGCCCAGGGCCTGCTTCCCTTACATTCACATATGCGTCCCAGGCCTGGATTCTTTCAACCAACTGGCGTTGCGCAACTGCCTGAATTTCCTTCAGTTGCGTGGGGCCTGGAAAAAAAAGGCTGAGAGGGCCTGTCGAGCCTGCCTTCACTTAGGGAGGCCGACTATGCTGCAAAGAGGGCCCCTTGAGGGGCTTATCGGGGTGTCTGCCTCGCACACGCACACGCACACGCACACAAACAAATATTAAAAGGCTCGGGGAAAAAATATATATATATATTTTTTCCATTCCGTTGATTGTTTCCTTAGGACAAAAAAAAAAAAACGTAAAAATGAAGAATACAAAGAACTGCCAACCAAAAATCCCCTAAAAATATATATATATATATATATATATATATATATATATATATTTTGCAATTTCTTTTTTCCACCTTTTTTGTTTTTTATTTTTTATAATTCCAAAAGTTTATCTGTTTCCAAAAACAAAATATGGGGTTGTAGGGATTAAAATTCCCTACAACACTATATTTTTTTATTTTTTTTTGTCTATTATTTAATTCAGGAAAAATCTTGTAAAATCGGGTCCGCGATGAGGACCAGGCCGGCCGTGGATGCGGCCACATATGGGGCCGCCATCCGAGATCGGGCCCGCGGATGTTTCATAGGGCCTGGGGGGATACCCCCATTTCCCGAGCTACCTTCTGTTCATTTTCTCTTCGAGCTTTGTCTTTCTGCTTGCCAGTGATTAGCAACCGGACTGATGCCCCCCAGAATGGATAGGGCTGTGTGTTGGGTGTAAAAAAAAAAAAAAAAAAAAAAAAAAAGACTTCGACCTGGGCCAAATGGCCTCCTGTCCAAGTGATTAGGACATCAGTTGAAAATGCGCATTGTGGTTCGAGAGTGTGGGTTCAAACTCCGCCCAGCGCATTATCTGTCGTTCGACACTCTCATAGCGCCTCGCCATTCGCACACCGGTTGCTGCAGGTTGAGGCCAGTCTAGGGGGATCGAGTCTTCGGTCTGCAGTTCGCCCTTGGGTTGGATGTTGTGGTATGCACAAGAAAAACAGTGGTTTGCGCGTTGGCGCAAGAAAGAAGCTTAGCGCGCTGTTGGGGGACCCCAACATTGATAAATAAGGGGCCGATATGAGGTGGCACCAACACGAGGGATTTACCGGTTCGATGCACAGCGTAGAGCCTAGCACGGGCAGACTATCTATTGACGACGCTGAAATTTGGGGGGGGGGGGGGGGGGRGGGGGGTTTCAGGTTCGGGAAGGGCTGCCTGGGTATGATACTTCTATAGCAGAGATGGGCACCCCATGCGATCGTGGTGACTGGTTGTTGTATGCCTCCCGACTTAGATGTCATCGGGGCAGCTATCTGCTTAGTTCGGGAGTTTCCTACCTATGTTTGCATGCCGTAAGGGAGCGCTGACCTTGGTCGATACCTTCCCATCTTTTAGGGTACGTGAGGTTCTAAGTGACTACACCTGCTAAGTGTCTCATCTGTGTCGGGAAACTGAGTGTGTGATACATAGGGGTGTGGGAAAGGAATAGGGCATACGATACCGTAGGTGGCAGCGCCGTCAGAGGGGTCTCGCTTGGTGAGTGTAGTACCCGCTCCGATAGCGTAGGAAGGTTCGGCGCGCCAGCCCTCCTGGCGGGGGTGCCATCTACGGCCAAGCGACAAGTGCGTGTGTATGGGTATGGCTAAGGCTGCCTCTCCTGCCCCTGTAGAGCCTTGTCTTGAGTGCTTCTGTATGTGGGTGAGGCCACCATGCCGACGGGTTGGTTGAACATGGTGCGTGCAGCCTTGCGTCGGCTCTCCCTGAAGAGTTGAATCCCCGACTCCTCCACAACCCTTTTTTTTTTTTTTTAACTGCGAATGACTCATATAATCAGTTATCATTTATTTGGTGGTCTCCTTACCACTCRGATAACCGTGGTAATTCTAGAGCTAATACGTGCATCCCGACTTCTGGAAGGGATGTATTTATTGGATTATAGGCCGATCCGGGCTTGCCCGTTGTTGCGGCGAATCATGGTGACTTGTCGAATCGCATGGTCTTTGAGCCGACGATGTTCCATTCAAATTTTTGCCCTATCAACTTTCGATGGCAGGATAGAGGCCTACCATGGTGGTAACGGGTAACGGAGAATTAGGGTTCGATTCTGGAGAGGGAGCCTGAGAGATGGCTACCACATCCAAGGAAGGCACCAGGCGTGTAAATTACCCAATCTTGACATAGGGAGGTAGTGACAATAAATAACAATACTGGGTTCTTTCGAGTCCGATAATTGGAATGAGAACAGTCGTAAACTCCTTGAACGAGGATCCATTGGAGGGCAAGTCTAGTGCCAGCAGCCACGGTAATTCCAGCTTCAATAGCGTATATTTAAGTTGTTGCAGTTAAAAGACTCGTAGTTGGATTTTGGGCGGGAGGGGTTGGTCCGCTCTTGCAAGCGTGTACCGACCCTTTCGCCTTTCTTGCTAGGTATGCGTTCCTTGCCTTTATTGGCTGGGATCTAAAGTCGGCGCTGTTACTTTTAAAAAATCAGAGTGTTCAAAGGAGGTATGTTCCCTGAACATATTAGCATGAAATAACGCGATAGGACTCTGGTCCTATTTCGTTGGTCTTCGGGATTGGAGTAATGATTAATAGAGACGGTTGGGGGCATTCGTATTCCATTGTCAGAGGTGAAATTCTTGGATTTATGAAAGACGGACTTCTGCGAAAGCATTTGCCAAGGACGTTCTCATTAATCAAGAATGAAAGTTGGGGAATCGAAGACGCTCAAATATTATCATAGCTTCAACCATAAACCATGCCAACTAGGGACTGACGAATGTCTATTGGATGACTCTGCCAGCACCTTGTGAGAAATCAAAGTTTACGGGTTCCGGGAGGAGTATGGT